TAAGACCCTCATCAAGAGTGCATTTCCCCAGTTTTCCTGCCTGTCATTTATTAAGTCATTGTCTTGAAATCACATGGTCAATAAATTGACTTGCCACCTAAAAGCAGAATTAACTTTTTCATTAATTCTACCATTGTACCAATTAAATAAAGAAACTCTTCTAGGCTCATCAAAAAGAGTAATGACCTAATGGGCCATGAATGTATCTTACAAATTCCAACTGGACCAGAATCAGCCCATTCTCTTTTTCTTTCTCATAGAAAAGGAAAACAGAAAGCACCTGTTCTCCTGGCACTAATTGGCATAATTGCCCCCAGTTCTTGTTTTCTTTGTAGCTGGGTAAAGCATTGCTGAGGTCACAGCGGGCCCTGGTCACACTCAACTGGGTGATTGTCACCCTGCCAGTGTAGATCCTCAGAGCACCCCCTTGTGGGACCACACCCAGGAGGCAGTCCTAACATTGGGCAGAGCCTAATGTTACTCACTGTGCTGTCCTTGGTATCACATAGTTTATGAGTGCTGTGGCCAGAACGTTATCATGTTCTCCAAAGAGTGACAACCTGCATGAGAGAAAATTCCACTGGTAATATTTATTCAGCATGCATACAGCCTGATAGCAAAGTGCCTGCCCTCAATTTATTTGCTTTTTATTTTCATGGTCTTTAGCCAAATTAAACTATAAATAATAAACCTATCTAAAGATAGGGCATGGGGGAAGTTGGGAGGGAAGTGAATAATGACTGAGAGAGAAACATCTATGAACATTAATTTTAAGCTAAAAAGGCTTTGTGCTTCTTAATGGATCCTTCAGGGCTCTCCTGTGTAGCCTCAGGGAGAGACCCTAAAAGCCGATAATGATGAAGGCATCACTGAGGGCTCAGCAAGGAAATGGGAAGGGTTGTTACCCATTGGTAACCCTTTTTGGAGAAGAAAATTTGGTGAGGTGGGGAAGAAAAAGGAAGCAGTGCTAAATATCCTCCTCTTTACATTTTATATTAGGAGCTCTGGTTAGCACAGTGCCTAAGGTACCTGACTGCTAACCAGAAGGCTGGTGGTTCAAACCCACCAGCCACTCCTTGGAAGGAAGGTTGGGCAATCCTACTTCCGTAGTGATACTGCCTCGGAAACCCAAGGAGGGGTCGCTATGAGTCGGGGCCGACTCGACGGCACATAACAACACATTTTATATTAGTCAGCAAAATAGGTAAGTTTTCAATTGCTTTTGCTGCATAATTCGTTCACACAGATGCCCAGGACCCATAGCATAAGGCTCATCTTTTCCATCGAGACAAGAGCAAGCTGCAAAAGGGGCTGCCTAGCTTCTGGCAGCCTCTCTTGAGAAACCCCAACCAGGGACCTGGAGGGGTGTCATCAGGCCCTCATTCACTCCACAGCAACCCTAAGGAGAGGTGTCTGCGATCACTACTTACTCTCCCCTTTCTCACAAGAGGGCCTCAGAAATTTGGCCCACATTGAGGTGCCAGGGACCTAGGCCTGTAGGTAAGCAGAGATGGGACTGAGTGACAGCCTCTGGGCCAAACCTGTGAGATTTCAAGGAAGTACATAGAGAGGAGCGGGCAGGACAGTAGGACCCTGGGTCAAGGAAATAGAAAAAGGCATGGACTAGAGATGGGGAGGAAAGCCAGCTCAGAGCCCTGAGCCACTCAGGCATGACTGTCAATGCCTTCCATAGGACAACTGAAGTCCTGAGCCTGGTGGGAGAAAGCTGCTGAAGAGCTGAAATGGCTCAGGCCTTGCCACAGCCCATCTCACTTAAGGTCTCACGGCTTATAGCTACCTTCTGGGATTGTTAGACATTCTGTAAAAACAAAGAGATGTACACTGCTCCTAATGTAAAAACCCATTTTCAAAAACAGGAATTGTTATAAATTAGAAGGCTATTTTTAAATTTTGCCCATTAAAAAAAATCCTAATGAAAAGAGGAAGTTATTCACCGTAATTCACTCATTTCAATTAATCTCACTAGTTGGTTGCTTTGGGTTTGGGTTTCTATATCACCCTAGCCTATATACATTTTATATCTTTATATATATTTTTATATCTCCATAATCATCCTATATATAATTATTTGCCAATTTTTTCACAGCCTAACTTAAGCTGTTACTATTTTGTTTCTACATTACTTCATGATCATCATCTTTCCTGGTTTCAATGCCCTATGAAATCAATATGCAGTGATTTCTTAAACTATCATTACTGCTGACATTTTGGAGTTCTTCCTATGAATACAATAGTTTTTCTTTTACTGGATTGTTCCTTTAGGCAAATTATTAAAAGAGAGACTCATGAGCCAAAGTTCTTACAAAGAAATAACATTTTTTGTTTGTCTGTTTCTTGACATAAATTTCCACATTGCTTTCCAATAAAGCAGCAACAAGTATCAGTAGTAACAAATGTGAGTGACTCAGACTTAAGGTATCTTTATTCAACTTAGGGTGATGTTTTTTCTTTCTTTCTTTCTTTTTTTCTTTTTTTCCTACTAATTTAACATACATAAAATGGTAGGGCCAGGGGAATTTTTATCTTAAATTTGTTTTTAATTCTTATTAATCTTCTTCTCTTCAGTGTCTCATAGAGTAATATGATTAGACATAATTTGAAGTAAAAACAAATACTTCAGAGTTTGAAAAATAGATATAATTCATTTGGCTGGATCTTACACTAATGGCAAGCATTTGGGAAGTGCTCCGTTTTCCATTTCAAATACTATTCTATGTAACATTTTATTTTTTCTCTGCTATATAGTGTACTAAATATTTCAACTTAATTTTTTAAGCCATCATATGTCCTGGAAGACAAAAACAAAACTTTAGTAAAATGCATTCAAATAATTAAAGATTTAAAGCAAATGAAATAAGAGGGACAATCTCTTGTGAGCCTTATTAATGTGTCCACATGCACACACATCACCAATCCATCCCCTTTGTCTGGGTTGTCAAAAGACATTAGCTGCCACCAATCTGGAAGCCACTTCCTGGCTCACAAAAGCACACAGTCACCAAACAAGAAAAGCTCATTTATCAGAATTAAAACCTGGCTACATAAGTGAGGGTTGTGCAGAGCATATTCCATGCATCATTATCTGAGCCCGATTAGCATTGATGGAAATTGGTCTTCAATTTTAACAATCAGCAGAAAAACCTTCAGCTTTCATTGAAGACAATTGCCTTATGCATGTCTGTGTCTTTTGCACAATAGGAAAATAGAGACAAGAGCTCTTGCAAAGATAGTTTTGAAATTGTTTTGGCAGTAGTTGTCTCACTGATGCTATTGTTCTTGTGACGCAAATAAGGTAACATCCAGTTCTTCCAACTGAGTGGTTTGACATCTTCTTGGGCACCCAGGGCTGCAGGGACCCGGTGGTGCCCACGTGGGTCTGGACCCTGATGAGACCTTGGACAGGTTTGTTAAGTCTCTTTGTACATAGTTTTCTGTCTATACAGTGGAGATAACACACTGCCTACCTTCTAAATTGATTGTGAGGATTATGCTAAGATCATTTATGCAAAAGAGCTATGTTCAAGGGCTGGAACATGAAGACATCTGTCTCTAGCCTAAAGGACCAGGCTGGCCAGACTGAGCCCTGCTCTGTGAAGAAGCCATCCTCAGCTCTCTGAGGCAGCTTGTGCAGGAGGGAATGTGGGGTTAAGTGCTCTAAGAGTGGGAGCTGTTATTACTGTTATAGTTGTTATAATGATAATTTTTGCTACCTTCCTCATTATTGTTTTTATTTTCCCTGCTAAAGTGTCTAAGTTGTTGTTGTTGTTGTTATGTGCCGTCAAGTCGGACCTGACTCATAGCGACCCCTCCTTGGGTTTCCGAGGCAGTATCACTACGGAAGTAGATTGCCCAACCTTCCTTCCGAGGTGTGGCTGGTGGGTTTGAACCTCCAGGCTTCTGGTTAGCAGTCAGGTGCCTTAGGCACTGTGCTACCAGAGCTTCCAAGTGTCTATAGGAGTACCCATTCTACTCCTTCACCAGCCCACTGTGGGATTAGTTCAAGGGAAGGAACATTCCAAAGTATGCAAAGGGCCTTCATGGGAGAGGAGCAAAATGTCTTCCCTTTTCTGAGTCTGTGAGATGGTTCACTGCCAGGGTGGGCATGGACAGAGGCTGTGAGTGTGGAAAGCTGGCAGAGCTGTGGGCGCTCTCATCATGCTGACCCAACCACCCCTACAGAAGGCCCTCCAAGAGTTCACAGAGAACATGTTCTTCACAATGCAGGCTCAGCCTGACCATGCCTTTGTGCCACACTGTTATCCTGAACACTTCTGAGGACACAGAGGGAAAACTCGCCCACCGTGCTTAGAGCTAACTTAGTTGTGCAGTTTCCAAATGGCATGAGAAATACTCTGGCTTGCATTGGAGAGAAGCTATCTCTTCTTACTGTTTAGATGTAAGATATCATTTGCATGTTATGACTTTAGAGTGGCACATACACAAGCAAATCTTTGCATATTCACTTGTCTTTGTGCAGTGGAATACAATTTAGAATTCATCTGCAGAGTGAGCAGGGGTAATTTGTGGCCTGGGTATTGCTAACATTTTGTGACCACACACAGACTCATAAACATACACATGCATACACACACATATACATACTCACATATACACATGCACACATTCATACACATAAATGCACATACAAAGACACATGCGTATACATGTATGGTATACACATACATACACATACAACCACATGGACATATACATTCACTCATGCACACACATACATACCCTCACACATACACAGAATCAACATAGACACATTCACACATAGAAACACACACAGTCATACACTCACACTTAACACATACACTATGTAATCACTGTCTTAGGAGTACCAAGAACAGTGGTCCGAAGAATATGGAACTATGTGTATTTGAATATGAACTATACCTTTCTTGGATACTTCTGGAGTAAATTAAATAAGTAATGATAGAAGCGAATGTCTCTGCTTTCTTTTTGGTCTCCCCCAGAAATGAAAAAGCTGCTACAGCCTCAAATGATGATGAAGACCTATTCATTACTGGACAGTTCCAGAAAACTCTTGCAGAACTGGACGAAGATCTAGAAGGTAAGTGCTAGCCTATCAACTACTTTTATTGTATTGTATTGTATGACTGTAACTCTGAAAGTTATTTTTTATAGTCACACTTTTTGGATTAACTATGTGAGGAAGAGGACTTCAGAAGAAATTGCTCTTAAGGCAAATATGAAGAAGCTTCAGTGTAAGGGGAGAGCACCCTCAGGTGGGGCACTGTTCCCCACACACATCTTTTCATCCATGCTACAAAATAGTACTACAGATACATCTGAAGCAGCTCCTTAAAATGTGCTCTGGATGGTACTGATTCTAAATAAATAAGCAAAAGTTTCAAAGTGCCAAATGAGTTAGGGAAACCCAGAGTGACAAAAAATATAAAAATTTATCTTTATTAGGACTTCTAAGCATTTCCTTGCTAAAGTACGGCACATCTCTCAAAGGGAAATGCAGGTCACAGCATGTTGGCCACAGGAACCCATTTGTCATGGAGCAGCTCATGGCGCTGCTACTCTATGGAGATATTTGGGAAAATAGTAGTGTAAGGCCAGCACAGGTGCAAATAGTGTCAGTGAACAAATAGAGAATCTTACAAACAAAGAAGTTATAGTATTTTCTCCAGGGCACATAGTGAAAATAAATAAGAAATTTGATACTGGCTATGCCTTAAAACAAGGAGGAATTAAAAATGCAGGAGGAGAAAAAGGAAACAAACTGTAGGAATGATCAGTGGTTTTGTCTAACTTGTCAGTTCCCAATCCTCAGAATATGTGGTTGGCAGATCTGACAAATCTAAATCAGCCTACTGAGTCTCACAGGTATCTGACCACATGGCCCACTACATCATTTGGGGCTTTCAAGAGTCATGGTAATTTTGAGGTACTCAAGACTTAGTCATCTAGCTCCTTAAGAAGTTAAAGCTACAGCAAGTGGCCTCACATGTTTTATTGTGCTTCTGGTGAACTTGGGAAACCTGCAGGTCAAAAGCCAAAATCTACTTTCATGTTCCTGTGTTGAACCAGTTCTTCCAGAAGGCTTGGATTTAGGAATCTGTTTGTTAAGTGAAAAATGTGGTCAGCATATTGTAACTAAATACCTCACCTTGAAACACTACACATCTGCAAACAGTTCTGTTGAGTAATGAGAATTGAGATTATGGCCCCAGGCATATGTAGATTACAAACTGAAAGGACATTTTAAAATATATATATAAATGACTTACACTAAAGTAACCTCAGAGAAATCAAACTCACGATTGTGATTGCACCAATAATGGTCATGGGAATTGTAGATTCAGTACCAATGTGTGACTTGTGTTTGTACTTCTTTGCAGAAATAGAAGACAGTTACGAAACAGATACCAGCTCTCTAACCAACTCTTTAAATGGTATCTCCAGCCATTTGACACAAGATGCCATAATCACTAACAGTGATGCAGATGCAATCCCAGTGACATTCATAGGGGAAGTTTTAGATGATCCCATTGATCAGGGACTATTTTCCAATAGAAACAATAATGCAGGTTCTTTTGACAAGGGAAGCATTGCCAGCAGAAAAGCCTACCTGCTGTCATTCCAGGCTGAGGACAGCCAGCCCCTTGAAAAGAAGAGGGAGGAAGTGCCTGAATCTTATGCTCCTTCCCATGACCCTGAAAAAGAAACTAAATTGGCCTTATCCAACGCTTGTAAAGGTGTGAGGTCAATTGAAATTGGAACCGAGGTGACCACTTCTGCCTTGAAGTTGCACACAGATGACCTAAATGCACAGGGAAAAAGCCAGGCACATGGTTGGCCCTGCAGTGAAAAGTCTCAAGCTGCCCAGGGAGGGAACTCACAGCCAATGGGTAAAAAGGAAGGCAATGATAAAAATGAAGTTCTGGCACCACCATCATGGTATCAACGAGGCCAAAACCTAGGGGGCAGTTATGGACTTAAATATGGCCTCACAACCTATAAAATTGTTCCCCCAAAATCAGAGATGAGGTGTTATGACCGAGGAGTATCCCTCTCAACAGGTGCCATTAAGATTGATGAGCTAGGGAATCTGGTGAGTCCCCATGTGAATGGGAGCAGGACCATATCCCTGTCATCGTCCATTCAACCTGTAGTAAAAATAAAAGAATTCTGGAGGTCCAACTCCATGGAAAAACATTGTGTTTTGCCCACAGAGTGCTCAGTAAAAAGGACCAGCACCACCCTGCCAGCAAACCCCCAGAACCTAGAAAGCAGACTCAGAACAGAGCCTACTTCCCCAGTCCCCACACTGGTATCACACCAGCAGCAGCCTGCTCCCCAAGAAAATGGGAGGCATACAGAGAAAGGGAAAAACCACTCACTCACAGCCATCACTGGTCAGGCAAAGGGGTCAGCTACCACCACAGAAGTCTCTTTTCTCAAGCCCCAGAGAAGAACATCTAGCCAGTATGTGGCCTCAGCTATCACCAAACGGATTGGACCCCAAAAAATCAATGCTGACTTAATGACAAAGCACATTGATACTAACAGGAATTATGAAGGCAGAGCACCAAAGCCAGATGGAGCACATCTTGCTACAAAAGGTGATACAATGCCTAGCCTGTATTCAGAGACAATAGTAAATAAAGACGATGCAAAAAGGTCTTGCTTCAATCTCCCCAACAGTAACAGGGAGGAATCAGCAGTGGGCGCCCATCCAAGAGCAGAGATCAATAACCCCGATGGAAAGTTATCTACTCGAGACTGTCCTGCTGGTGTCCCAAAAAGCTCTCATGTCCCACTAATCAAATCTTCCCAGAGGGATCATGTTTCTGTGGGACAGAGCTGTGGCTTCACTGGAAAGCAAAGTACAAGGAACCAGAAGACCAGCTCAGCATCTGAACCACAGTGTGTACTGGACAGCAGAGATGCCCCCCTTTCCCACTCAGCAGATGAGCAGGCCTCCCCTAGGGCTTTGTTGAATGGCTCAAAGTGGCCCCCAGTCAACAGCAAACATTCTCACACTCTGAAACTGTCCACCATGAATAGCCACATGATTTTAGAAATAGAACCCAAATCCAATACATTATCTGCAGATGCACAGGAAGCAGAGGGTTCTTTGACACCCAGCATTTTTGGGCCAAAGAAAAAATTCAAACCTGTCATCCAGAGGCCTGCGCCAAAGGACACATCCCTCCACAGCGCTCTGATGGAAGCCATCCACTCAGCAGGAGGGAAGGAAAAGCTTCGGAAGGTGAATAGGTTGGGTGCTTACCTTAGGGAGCAAGTGCAGGTGCTCTTGATTAGTCTTTACACCTGCCAGTTGTAGGTGTTGTGGACTCAGATTCTTAGAATAGGATTGAAGGAGAGAACAGGGATAAAGATGAGGCTGTTGGCATCTTTATCTTTTCTAACATGTCACTATGCTGCTCTGAAATAGTCACAGAAATAATGTTATTTTTGTCCTTTATATTCCTTGAGTTTAGAAAAGTAAATGTCTACCTCAGCCCCTTTTTTGAATGATTTCGCTGAATTGGCTATCACTCACTTCCTGTTAGTAGTTGGTATGAACCATCACAGTGAGGTGAGGAGTGAGGTCCATGGCTGCTCATTGTCAATCTCCACGTGGAAACTCTTATCATTCCCTCCACCGGTCTGAGCAAATGGTATCTGATCCACACCCAGCAGTCAGGTCTGATTGTAACCAGAATTTCTGCCCTATTCCTTAGAGAATATTTAAACTGCTGAAGGGAATAAGGATCTCTGGTGGTATACTGGTTAAGGCATTTGGCTACTAACCAAAAGGTCAGTGGTTTGAACCCAAACCACTGCTCTGTGGGAGATGAAGCAGTCAGCTTGCATAAAGATTTATAGCCTTCAAAACCCATTGGGGGTTGCTATGAGTTGGAATCGACTCAGTGGCAGTGAGTTTGGTTTGGTTTGGCTGACTAAAGTTAAGCGGTTTTAGGCTAGTCTGGCCTGGGTCCTAAGGTATTCGCCTGCCAAGCACAAGGCTAGCAGTTCAAATCCACCAGCTGCTCCTCGTAAGGAAACCCAGGCCTTCTATTTCTAGAGTTCTGGTAGCACAGTGCCTAAGGCATTTGACTGCTAACCAGAAGGTTGGTGGTTCAGACCTACCAGCCACTCTGCAGAAGCAAGACTTGACAATCTACTTCTGTAAAGATTTACCACCTCAGAAACCCAATGAGAGTTGCTCTGAGTCCGAATAGACTCGATGGCAGTGGGTTTGGTGTTTGTGTTGGAGCTCTGGTAGCATAGTGCCTAAGGCACTTGACTGCTAACCAGAAGGCTGGCAGTTCAAACCCACCAGCCACTCCTCGGAAGGAAGATTGGGCAATCTACTTCCGTAGAGATACCGCCTAGGAAACCCAAGGAGGGGTTGCTATGAGTCAGGTCCGACTCGATGGCATGTAACAACAGCATGATGTTAGGCCCCTGACTACGGAAAAAATGTCAGCCAGCAAACAATCCAGAAGCAGTAGAAAAGCCAGCAAATTGGGTCATTCCTAGACCAGTCCTTGAACAATTGAATGTATATATAAAAAATGCACTCCAGGGCATTCCTTTTCTCTATCTGTGTATTTTTTTAGTGGCGGTATGCTGTAATTCTTTGGTAATGACAGGAAAAACTTTATGACATCTCACCCAGTAACTAGGCATTTAACTACTTACAACTATTTTATCATTTAATAATAATCATAACAACTCTGATAATTAGGAATTATTATCTCTGTTTTGAAGATGAGGAAACTAAGACAGAGAGAGGTTATGGAACCTGGCTCAAGCTCACACTACCAGCTAGTGTGGACCCAGAATTGTCAGCTAGGCCTATAAGACTCAGAAGCACATACCAGCTCTGAAAGGCTACGATAAATGACAGGAGTGATATGACATTAAGACACAATCATTTGATGCTACTCCAAATATACTGTCATTGTTAGTTCCATCAAGTTGATTCCAACACCCAGCAACTTCACATGTACAGAGTAGAACTCATCCATAGGGTTTCGAAGACTGTGACCTTTCAGAAAGATTGCCAGGCCTATCTTCCAAGGCAAAAAATAAAAAAATCATCCTCCTGTAGATAGGAACTCTGCAGGGGATCATATAGGCCTCAATAATATTTGATGCTTTTCTTTTGAGCTGCCTTACAAATAACATTTCTTTATCCTGTGAATGAGATCTGTTGACAATTAATATTCTAGACTGCAGAGCATACCTCAGAGAGAAGGCCAAAGAAGCTGTCCTACACAAAGGCAGAGAGTGAACGATCAGCACTGCTGGCAGCCATCCGTGGGCACAGTGGAGCCTGCAGCCTAAAGAAGGTAAAAGGAAAGGGCTGGCCCCAGGCACCATCCTCCCCCAGTGGCTTGGCTGAAAGCCACAAATGACAGGGCAACCCTCCGATTTTCTAAGGAGATGGAAAATCATTGACTGAACCACCAACCCAAAATCCCTGAGGAGATGAGCATGAAGGAGCTATGTCTTGTTCCATGATGGCTGGGCAGTCCCTCAACAGCCCAGACAAAAGTGAGAGCTCCTAGAAACACTACTGTATAGGTTTCCTTGGGCTGCTGCAACAAAACACCACAAATGAGGTGGCATATAATACAGAAACTTATTATGTCATAGCTCTGGAGGCTGTGAGTCTGAATTTAGGTCATGCTTTCTCCAAAGACTATAGAAGAGATCTTTTCTTGTCTCTCCCAACTTCTTGTAGCTCCAGGTATTTCATGGCATTCCTTGGCCTATAGATGTAGCTTCACATAGACCTCTTTTCTCTCTTTCTCTCTTGCTCACTCTCTCTCTCTGTATCTCTGTGGCTCTCTTCTCTTTTATAAGGACACCACTATGACTGAATTAAGGAACCCTGGTGCAGTGGGTAAGGAATTTGGCTGATAACTGAAAGGTCAGCGGTTCAAACCCTCCAGCTGCTTCAGGGGAGGAAGATGAGGCAATGTACTTCTGTAAACATTTACAACCTTTGAAACCCTACAGGGGTCACTGTGAGTTGGAATTGACTCGATGAGAGTGGGTATGATTGAATTAGCACAAACTCTAGTATGACCTCATGCTAACTTAACTGGTAATGTCTTCAAAGACTTTTATTTCCAAACAAGTTCACATCCACAAGTACAGGAGTTAGGACTTCAGCCTATCTTTTTAGGAGACACAACTCAATCCATAATACCATACCACCCTTTTCTGAATGCATAACTCATGTGCACACCTAAAATTGAGTAAATTCCAGTCGATGACCAAATACAGCTTCAAGCTTAGACAGTCTAGCAATTAGAGGCCAAATCCCTTATATCTCTTGGGATGAAGTTGCTGCATAAATGCAGCACTGATTTTTCTATCACTTCAGGAGCCAAGAGGAACTCAGGTGTATGGGCTGGTGTCATCTACATCTTCCACACACAGAATACAAGGAAACATAGAACTCATATATGTTATGCATCATATCTTGTGTATGTATCCTCCCCACAATGATTGGTCAGGTTTCTGTATCCATCCTGCTTTTGTCCTCACCTGTCAGGAAGAGTTACAAGACCAGGGAGTTCTCAGTAAATAATGATTGCCACTCAAGAGGAAGTCCTGCGACCATCTTGGGTTCCTGTCACTGATCAACTGGAATGCAGGGGGAGAACAGGGACAGATGTTTTCCCAGTGAGCAAACACACTTCCCAGGCTTGTTGCAAATGAGCACTTCAATTCCAACTGTAAGACAGTAAGCTTCCTTACAGGAAGCAGCTTTGGGGACATTTTCATTTGATGCTTTCATTGCTAGGTGTCATCCTTTGCCTCTGAGGAGCTCCAGAGCCTCCGAGACACTGCACTCTCTGGACGTGGATCAGAAATCCCTTCACAAGACAACCTGTGTGTACCACCCCAGCCACCTCCCCTGCTTCCTGCTGCCTCAGCTCCCCCTGTGCCCATAATGGCCTCCAAGGTCAGCACAGGCACTCTCAACAACCCTGTGGATGTCAGGCAAGCCCTGATGGATGCCATCCGCTCTGGCACAGGGGCTGCAAGATTGAAAAAGGTGACCATGTGACTGTGTGTAAGCTCTTGTGTGTGTTTGAGAGAAATGCTTGATGCGACAGGTGTACTTTGCAGTGTCACAGTTGTGCTGCCTATATTGGGAGTGAGGCCCATGTGGGCTGGGAGCCATCAACAAGAGGACAGGGCATAGGGCAAAAGACAGCTAACATCGCTGTTATCCTTAGACATACTAACAAGAGGAAAAGAGGAACACTCCCCTCGTGTGGGTGAGAAGGTTAGCACCTGGAAGGTAGGTGTTTGCCTGTGTCCTCAGCTGAACCTGAGATAGTAATTTAAAAGCTTTCTTGTTTTCGTTTGTGCTTTTTTTTTTTCTTTTTTGACATTTATTCACTGATGAATTTATGTATGATTACCACATAGAAGGAGGCCTGGTGATGCAATAGTTAAGCACTCAGCTGCTAAGTGAAAGATAAGCAGTATGAACCCACCAGTTTCTCTGCAGAAGAAAAGATTTTGTGATCTGCTTCCGTAAAGATTACAGCCTAGGAAACCCCATGGGGCTTGCTGGTCTGATAAGAGACTAGTGGAACCCTGAGACTGTGGCCCTTCCTTGCCCTTCAAGCCTGGAACTGAACTCATCCCATGGCTCAACTTTCAGCCAAACAATGGACAGGTCTATAAGGTTTATAATAATACTAGGGAGGTATGCACTCCTTAGAACCATCAACCATATGAGATCAAAGGGGCAGCATTTTCCCAGGAATAAAGCCCAGAAGGCAAGAAGGGATAGGAAAGAAGGATGAATGGAAGCAGGAAACACAGGGATAAAGTGGGAAGAGAGCTGTTACATTGTGAAGATTGCAATCAGTGTCACGAAACAAAATGTTTTTGAATTGTTGAGTGAAAACCAATTTGCTCTGTAAAGTTTGTCTCAAATCACATTAAGAATTAAGAAAAAAACAAGAAAGAAACCCCATAGGGCAGTTCTACTCTGCCCAATAGGGTTGATATGAGTCAAAAATCAACTCAGTGACACCTAACAACACAACTACCATGTAAAATGGGGAAAAGTGACAAAATTGGGGTGAATGACAAAATAAGAGTAATAAAAATTAAACCAAGTAAATTCTGATAAAGATAACTCTGGAAGGTCAGTAGAGAGGCATCTTCTCTATTCCAAATATAGTGCTTTGGCAGACTAAAGGTGCAGATCATTAGAGCCCTTCCTTAGGAGTCTAAAGCAATGCAATCAGGTATCAGCCCCAGTGGTATGGTTGATCCAGGATACCTTTTTGAGTTGCTAAAACAGTGTTTCTCAAAGTGAAATCCATAGACCATCTACCTACTAAATAAGATTTTTTGGGAGTTTGAGCCTAGAAATCTGCAATGGTTGCCAGGCTTCAAATGGTTGCCAGGAGACTTTACATTAAAATTTGAGAGTAGTTATCTCATTTGAGCTTTGGATGTATTTTGAATAACAATGAATGGAATTATGTGAAGGATCTGAGTAAACACTGGATTTGTTGCTTCCTAGATATTGTCTTGTTGGCTAATTTGGGATCTTTTCCAAACAGGCATTATGCTCTCCATCTTGCAGGGATGATGAGGAGCCTGAGGCTCAGAGAGGCTAAAGCTTGTCTTGGTCACACAGGTAGGAAGAGATGGACTAAAAATTTCACAGATGGCAGTGGTTCAGTGGTAGGATTCACAGCTTCCATGCTGGAGACCAGGGCTTGATTCCTGGCCAGTGCACCTCTTGTGTAGCCACCATCCATCTGTAAGTGGAGGATTTGGTGTTGCCGAACAGGTTTCAGCAAAGTTTCCAGGCTAAGATGAATTAGGAAGAAAGGCCTAGTGATCTACTTCCAAAAGTCAGCCAATTAAAAACCCTTTGGATCACAATGATCCCCAACTGATCTGGGGATGCCACACGACCAGGCAGCATTTTGTTCCATTGTGCATAGGGTGCCCATGACTTAGGGGCCTACTCAATGGCAACTAACAACAACAACAAAATTTTTACCTAAGGCTTTCTTTCTCTGAATCCCACCTCTCTTCTGCCTTCCAGAAATTAAAAAAAAAAAAAAACATGAGAACTGAGGACATTGTGCTGTGAATATGGAAGTAGTGGGAAATGTAGGAAGTGGATGGGAAAAGCTAGAACTAGATAAGGGCAGTTAGATATTTGGGGATGAGGAATCAGGGAGCAGGTGTATCAGGGCAGCAAACCAACTGTAAACCAACTGTGAAGTCCTTGGCATGCAAGGAGGAAAGGTTGTTAGGGCTCTAATGTCCTGGGTAGAAGCCCAAGGTATTATTCCTAATGTGATGGCAGAATCCTTTCAACTAACTCAGATGGCATTTCAAGATCCAGGTTTTCCTTGTTTCTTGGATGAGTCTAAGAATTGTGACCTGCCTTATCACCCTTAAAAGTACTAGGCAATAAATGTAACTATAGCTTTTCTGAGGTTTAGATGCCCTAAAGTTTATAGTTGCCCTTGGGCTGGAAGGATGATCTGAATGACATTGGAATGTATATTTCTTTAACTCTCTTTATCACTATTATGCCCAAATGACCCAGGACCTTCCCCTGCCTGCTTGTACTTTTCATCACAGACCACATAAAATGTGAGTGCCCAAGAAAATGTGAGTGAGGAGGCCAGGAACTGGTTGGTGCCCTTTACATTGGAGCTGCCCCACACAGCCTCTTTCAGCCCCCAATGGGCCAAGTAGCTTCACCTGACCCAAGATTTTCTCTTCTTGTACAGGTGTTTGCTTGATTTCCTTTCTAACAGCTTGCCCTCAGTCTCCTCATTTGTACAGAGCAGCAAATCTATGGCACCATGGGAGACACTGACTCTCAGGCCATAAGGGGCCAGGATGCATTTTCCTACCAGATTAAACCCGCTGCTGTCAAGTTGATTCTGACTCATATTGACCCAATAGACAGAGTAGAACTACCCCACAGGGTTTCTAAGGCAGACTACAACATCTTTCTCCCACAAAGCAGTAGCTTCGAATTGCCAGCCTTCTGGTTAGCAGCTGAGCTCTTTAACCACTGTGCCACCAGGGCTCCTTCCTAACAGATTAGATGACATTTTTCTGAAGCTAGAAGGGCTGTGGAGGTCACTTAGGTATCAAATTATTTGGTGATGCTTATTAGATCTTTAGATTCCTGTCACCTTTTGTACTTTTAAAGCTCTATGACTGCAAGGAAAATGCCAAGAATGCGTGGTCTACTGGCTCTATAATCGTGGCCTAGGCTCTCCATTGGCATTCTCATGTGTAGATATCCTTTATTCTGCTTTTGCATGTTCAATGAGGGCTCCAGGACAGCTGTTGCTAGGAGAACATCCTGGATCCTGGATCAGCAGGGTATTTTTATGGATTGATTTTGTCTACAGGTTAACCAGTAAAATCATTTGTCACCAAGTCAATTCTGACTCAGTGACACCCCATGTGTGTCAGAGTAGAACCTTCATAGGGTTTTTCAGTGGCTAATTTTTCAGAAATACATTGACAGACATTTCTTCTGAGGCACCTCTTGATGGACTCAAACCTCCAAACTTTTAGCACCCAAGAACTCTAACCATTTACACCACCCAGGGACATGTGCTCACCTTAAAAAGGACTTTACCATTCTTCAAGGCAGCTGAAAATACATTTGCCTTCCATACTGTGTGAAGCAAATGATTTCTATGCCTCTTTGTTTGTGTTTGTCAAATAAATCCCTGGTTTTATATGTCATTCCTCTAGCTCTGAACAACAGCATTTGCAGCTCTGCTTAGTGTGCTGCTATCTATTCATGACAACACCTACCCACGCCTCCTGAATGCAACATTCAAATTTAGCCACCCCCTGCCTCCCAGTGTTTGATTTTCTTCCACTTCACTCTACATTCATAGTAAAGGTAAAAGCTTCCACTGCATTGATAGGCAGGTAAGCGCAGACATCGTAAATCACTTATCCAGGGCCTTAAGGAGGTTAGTACCACTGTTGAGCCCAGATATCTTATCTGACTGCCCTGATTGGCTGTTTGAAATGCATTCTTTCAGAAAGCCTGGAATTTACACCAAACCAAAAAAGCCAAGCCCACTGATGTCTAGTTGAGTCCAATTCTCAGTGACCCTACAGGACAGAGAAGACCTGCCCCAAAAGGTTTCCAAGGCTGTACTCTTTATGGAAGCAGACTGCCATATCTTTCTCCCGTGGAGCAGCTGGTGGATTCATACTGCTGACCCTTCAGTTAGCAGCCAAGTCCTCAACCACTGCACCACCAGGGCTCCTAAAATACACTAAGCACCCTCTTGATCCCAGTTTATATTTTAAACATCCACATATCCCATTATTCTTTCAGCAAGCATTTCCTGCAAGCCTGCCAGAGTCCAGGTACTGTGGAAGCCACTCATAACAGAAAGATGAATGAAGGTTTTTACCCTCAGAGAGCTCTTAGCCAAGAAAAGAGAGAGGTGTGCATCTTGTTGGAATCCTTGGGTAGTGAAAAGAGTTTATGTGCTCAGCTACTAACCAAAAGGTTTGCAGTTTGAGTTCATGCAGAGGTATCTCAGAAGAAAGTCCTGATGACCTACTTCAGAAAAATCAGTCATTGAAAATGGTATGGAGCATAGTTCTACTGTGATGCACATGAAGTCACCATGAGTCAGAATCAAGTTGACAGGAACTGGTTTGATACATTTTGTTGTTGACCTTAGGAATTTTTCAAAAAGAGGGGCATGACAAAAGTCCACAAGACTTTTTTTCTTGTGTTATCACATCTTTCCTCCTAGAGGGTAGCAGAGCAATCATTTACTGTCTCCCTCCTGGGAGGAAAGGCTTCAGCTTCCACTGCACAGATAGGCAAGTGAGTGCAGACATAAATCACTTATCCCAGGCCTTAAGGAGGTCAGTGCCACTGTTGAGCCCAGACATCTTATCAGCCAGACTTGAGCAGCTCTCAGCTGCTTTGGAAAATGCTTCACAAAAACCAAGCTCAGACTCCACTCCCTGCTGTGCCCACACAGATGCCAGTTTTCCCACTGCAGAAACCAACTGATGCAAACCACACACATGCAGTGACGCCTGGCCTTGTCAGTAGAGCCCGTGGGAAATTACTTAACAAGTGACACTATCACCACAAAGGTTCATGCAGCCCAAAACTAAAGGGAAAAAAATTCTTTCTAAGCCTAAGTGTCTTAATATGTGGGTTAGAAAGATCCAAGTTCCTTGGAACTAGAGAATAGGATTTATGTCAGAACATGAAAACTAATCATAAGTAAAAATTGTATTGCACACTGACTTCATGTTGCTCATGCATAAATCTCTGTTTTGGTTAAGTGGAAATAGTCCAGAGGTACAGAGGTCAGTCCTGTTTTCATGGACCTTGTGCTGACATCAGGAGCTCTGGTGGCACTGTGGTTAAAGCATTGAGCTTCTAACTAAAAGGTCAGTGGTTTGAACCCACCAGCTGCTCCTGGAGAGAAAGATGAGTCAGTCTTCTTCCGTAAATATTTGCAGCCTTGGAAATCCTACAGGGCAATTCTACTCTGCCCTATAGGGTAACTGTGACTCACAATCAACACAATGGTAGTGGGGCTTGGTTTTGGTTTGGGTGCTAAGATCATTCTGCCCATTACAACTCTACCAGATTACTTGTGTTTCTGAAAGCAGAACACAGGGAAGCCTGTCACAGGAGACATCCTCGTGTTGTGACTCCTCAGGGCCTTCCCAATTGCTCTTCCCATTCCTGGACAGCTGTACCCCACCCTGTTCCAGCTAACTCCCACTTATCCTTCAGGTTCTGTTCCTGTACTCACCTGAAGTCCTCAGAAATCCTTCCTCAACCCCCTACACTGGATGAGGTTACTCTAATGGACTGTCACAAATATTTCCTTCATAACACTAATCACAGAATTCTAAGTCAGTTACAGAACTTGTGTTTAATGCCTGCCACACAGTAAATCTCATCATATCCTAACCTCCTAGCACAGTTCACATAGCAGATACCAATAACCACTTACTAGAAGAAAGGAGAGAGAGAGAATTCATTCTTTGCCATGTGTCCTTGGCCCTCCAGACTAGGAGCCTTGCACACCTTGGTCTCCATGTCTTCCTAACTCACCTATGTCATAATCATTATAAATGTTGGCATGAATCCACTTCATTCTAGAAACACCCACCTTATTTCCCTTATGAAAAATCAGATGAGTTTTGTCCATCTCCAGTCTCCTATCACCGATCTTGTTGACACTCTTCCCAGTTAGCTATTATCTACGAAGCCAGCTCACTTATGAGTTCTGCCCTTGGATCTGATCAGTCCAGGCTGGAAGATAGGAGATTACATAGAGAATCCCACTGCTCTCTTATAATTTCTTTTCTGTCACCAAACCATTTCCCTATAACCACTGTTCATTTTATCTTTTTTTTCATATAAAGGTTATTCTCCTTGTCAGGGAAGGAAGCAAAATAAAACTTGAATATTTTTACAGCTTTTTGTGTTGGTCATGAGCTGCAATCCTTACCTCTACATTGATTTCCTTCTTGTCCAGCCAAAATAAAAAGAGACTCCTTTGACAAACCTTTGGACCTCCAGGGAATGTCCTAATAGTGTGCTTCCAGACTGTGTTTACAGCATGTACTCCTCTTTGGACATGTACCCTTGCTCCTCCTTGAAACCCTTGTTTGGTCACACCCACCTGGTGCTGGTTCACTGGTCATGTAATCTGGCACTTCACAGGGAAGATACCTCTTATCTCAATCTAGATAGTAATCTCTCTTCAAGGTGGTGTAAGCTTAAGTGACACTATTGACCATCAGTATTGCTTTATATTATGTTTGTGGTTAACTAAATCACCAAGCTCTTGTTCATTGAATTGTTGCCTAGACAGATCTTTGTAATACTGTCCTTCAGCAATTGACTTTTGCATCAACTTTCGGAAGTTTTCCTTTTTCACCCCGTATCTTCTTAATTTACTGAGGACTTATCAAATCTTTATTGTCATACTATGCATTGGTTCATATGTTTCCCAACACAGGAGTCCTGTGGTGCTGACATGCATGTTACCTGGCCAATAGAAGCAGAGTTACTGTCTATGCAACAAAGGATGATCATCAGACCCCACTTTTCTTCACTATCTTGCACTTTAACTTCCCTTGCTGGCCCACTCTCCCACTTATCCCTTGTGCCCTGAGACACTTACCTTTGCAACATGTAACAGCCTCCAGAAAGAGGCTCATCCCAGATGACCAAGTTATGCTGAAGCAGTCTACTGTCCCATTCCCAAACCTTCATAATAGCTATCACCTGGTAGCGTAGTGCCTAAGGCACTTGACTACTAACCAGAAGGCTGGAGGCTCAAACCCACCAGTCACTCCTCAGAAGGAAGATGGGGCAATCTACTTCTGTGGTGATACTGCCTGGGCAACCCAAGGAGGGGTCACTATGAGTCAGGTCCGACTCGACGGCACATAACAACAACAACAGACCTACCATTGGATAAGCTCAATGAAATGGTGGTGGTCATAGTAGTTAAGATTCTGTAGGGTGTAATACGTTACCCCACTGGGCTGAGCCCTCTATAGAGATGATCTTACTCATCCTTAAAGGCAATTCTATAACATAGATATTATCATTCTCGTTTTACCAGGGAGGGAAGCAAGGATGCACAAAGAGTGAGCAACTCTCCAGCATTCACCCAACCAAGATGCAAATTCATACTCTCAAGAGTGTGCCCTTAACTACTACATACATTACTATTTTAAATCCAGATGGAACTAAAGCCACCTGAAGAGTTTAATAGATAGACAGCCCACCTAGGCCTTATAGCTACCTCCCACTGACTTTTGATAAATCCAGTTTAACATCAAAACCAATTTTTTGCTGTTGTTTTATACAGGATTTTTCTCTTTCATTGTGTTATGAAAATTTTCAAAGATAAAGTTGAAATAATTGTGCAGTAAATATCCTTATACTTACCACCTAAAGTTTACAATAATGTCTTACTGTATTTGTTTGCTCATATTCACTTATCTATTCCTCTACAAATTATTTTTATGCAATTTAAAGTAAATTGCAAATATTACAGTTCATTCCTAAATATTTTAGTATGCATTTACTGTATATTAGAGTTTAGTACTTGTTTATAGTTATTTTTTAGAGAAAATATATGTTCAGTAAAATACACATGTCTTAAAGTTACCATTTGATGAGTTGAAAACGCATTTTTACACTCCTTACCTCCACTGAGTTTGAGTGTGGTTTTGGCAAAGTTCGACAAATATTAGTGACCACAGAAATAGTTACATTAAATTTGCAGTTCTCAGGATATCTGTATCTATATAGACACATATACCATACACACACACATATTTTGTGTAATATATGGTTACTTGTAATATGTGGCTTAAAGGAGGAGTTGCATTTACACAGCTGTATATAGGCTGGAGAAGGGAAAGTCTGGACAGAAAGGGCAAGTTAGAAGACATTGTAATAACCCAGAGCAGAGGAAATGAGCCAATCTGTGCTGCTGGCAGTGCAAAAGGAAAAGAAGGAGTAAAGCATAGCTGTTAAATATGTTCAATTTTCACCTGCTTAAAAAGAACTCCTAGGAATGTCTGCTTCTGGCCAAGATAGAGTTTCAGGGACTGGAATTATCCCACCTGAAACAACAAAAAATCAGACACTGAACATAAGGCAATAAAGGACAGTGATCCCTGAGAGACGGACATAAATGAGATAAACACTATGATCCATCTTGAGTTTCTAAGCTATGACGCAGGGGTAGTAGACCTAAATGGAGACCCACATACTCCCTGAGTTGAGGAGACAGAGCTGAGAGTCCAGAGAGACCAAAGTAATTAAAGTTCACAGTACAGAGCAGTGAAGAAGAGATAACCCAGAGAATTCCAGAGACTTGCAAAGAGTCCTCTGTGGGAGTATATTCATTGGCATATTGAACAGTACATGCAAGTGAGGCCATGTAAAGAACCATCAGATAGGATTAGATGTAGCAGTACTCAGAGCTCACACAGGGCCGAGAATAGTGTCTATTTCCACTAGCTAAACTAGAGTAGCTCACATCTCTTGGATATTGTCTAGAATATTCATATGGTTTTGCATCAGCAGTAGGCAATAATTAGACTCAGTTAATATGGTTCTCATATCCAATAGATCTTAAAACTAAGACCCAAAAGGACCAAACCATTCTATATAACTACATCACAGAGAAAAATCTCTAGAATATTTGTAGGATTACAGAAATATTCAGCACCCACCAGGTAAAATTGACAATGTCTGACATCAAAGTTACAAGTGTGAAAAGAGGCAGAACAGTATGTTGTAGTTATGTGCCGTTGAGTCAGACCTGACTTACAGCGACCCCTCCTTGGGTTTCCGAGGCAGTATCACTATGAAAGTAGAATGCCCATCCTCCCTTCCAAGGTGGGTTTGAACTTCCAGCCTTCTGGTTAGCAGTCAAGTGCCTTAGGCACTACGTTACCTGAACTCCCGATGGAGAAATACCCCCTGCAAAATGGCCCAGAGCAGGGAAAGATCAGAGAAATTAGACGGGAATTCAGTGGGTTGAGGGACTAAGGACAGCAGAGGACTCTAGGAACAGAAGAGATCTACAAATACATCCTTTCATCCTCCAAAGATTCCACACTTTATTCATGCAATAGTGACAAATGCAATAACAAGTCACTGAAAGCTTGTAGGTGTAGTTAAGTTTCAGAAAGATTACTCCTTAGAACTTGATGGGTAAAAAATCTGTGAGTTCAAAGAATCAAGGGAGTTTTGCATATGCAGCTATTTAACACCTTGGCTTATCAACATATGTTGAATAACATTTTTCTCACTGCAGGTACCCTTGCTTGTATGAATATTAATAAAAGTCAGATAATTGCAAAAACTCACCCTTAAGATGTCCAGAATCATCACTTAAGGACTCCACGTGGCAAGAAACATCAGGATTTGATGTTATTTTCTGTCTACAGGCCAAAATATGTGTAGTGATTTTCAGCATGTTCCTGTATAATGGTTCAAATGGAAGGAAAAATGTTGCTTTATTGCATGGCTTCTGTGCCAAGGAGATGTATTTTGTCTCTGCATATTCAAAGTTGCCAATAAAATATTCTTGTTGGCAGGTGAATGGGAATATGAGGGCTGCAGCCCAGCACTAACACTTAATTAGATAAATGGGCAAAGTGAAAAGAATCATGCCTGCAACCAATTTTGGACCTTTAAGACTTTTACCATATATGTGGTTAAAACCATAGACTTGTTTAAAATCTTTTAAATTCTGGAAAAAAATGAATTGAAACAATCTAAATGTAATATGCTATATGATGAGAGACTTTTTCAATGGTAAAGTGTTGAGTAATAAAACTATTGGGTTCATATTCCTCAAAGAATTGGGGCTAAAACTCCATGGAGGGTCATGGGTAATAATTTGATCCACTGAGTTTTTAAAGACAAATTATTGTCATACAGAACACTAATCATATATGAACATGCAAATGGGCATATCTGAGTTCTCCATAGATGGTGAGTAGCTGAGATCCAGGACCACATTGGAATGGACAATTGGATAAGCAGGCTTCCACTTTGACACTTGGTCCCCCATGGGTTATGAAGTATAATGGTCCTCCCCAGAGAGGGGGCTGTGTACAGAGCCCACTGACTTCTCCAGGGACCTCTGGACCCCCTTAGAAGGCAGAGGAGGGAGGATCTTGGGGGTTTGTATGTAGCAGAGATTGAATCAAAATTGTGCTTATTATTTCATAATTTGAGTTTGGTCTTGACCCTTTTGATCAACAGACCAGCAGCTCTCCTTCTGTTGTATACCAGTCTTCTCATAACACATGGTGTTCAGTATTTATAACAAAGTGTAACTTTGTAAGTAGTTTTTCATATATATATCCAAAACATTTTGTTATATTGAAAATACTCTTTTAAGAAGTTAATAGAAATCAAGAGAAGTGTGTGAAATAAAATCTGTCTTAATAGAACAACAAATATGGCTAGATCATTTTAATGTTTTATAATACTGTCAATCTGAGCATCAAGTAGAATGGAATCTCAGCTTTGTGTTGTCTGATTAATGTTACTAAACTTCTTTGGTGAAGAAAGAGCATCCAGCCAATTGCTCTTATCCACAACTGTCTCTAATTTGTGTATTTTAGTGCCACAAATAAAAGAAAGTCAAAATGCAGTCATTGTGTGAATTTCATGAATTTATACGATGCTTGTTTGAGGTTATAGGATACCCTACTCCCAGAATAGAAAACAGGAATTCATTTAGTCAATCAATAAAAACAGCCAGCTGACTACCCTCTTCTAGGCACTGGGTTACAGCAGATAAGAATACAGAAAAAACTCCCTGCCTTCATAGAGTTTATCTTACAGTAGAGGAGATAGAACATAAACAAAATAAATAAGCAAAATATTCAGACTATTTAGATGCTTCTAAGTGGGAGCTCTGGTAGCATAATGGCTAAGACACTTGCCTGCTAACCAGACGGCTGGCAGTTCAAACCCACCAGCCACTCCTTGGAAGGAAGGTTGGGCAATCCTACTTCCGTAGTGATACTGCCTCGGAAACCCAA